ATCTAATCACCATTTTTGATCTTGTTAAATAGCTGATGATTTATCAACAGTTTTCAAAGTAAATTATACAAGGTGAATCTGAATTTATCAAAAAAAATTGAATGTACCGGGGATTTTCACAAATATAATTTTGTAAAAAAAAATCAAAAAAGGCAGTTCAAAAACGATTTAAAATACACTTCTGCACGGCCCTGGAAACTGGTCCACTGTAAAACCTGACCTTGCGCAAGGCAAAGCAAGCAGTCGGCGACAGGTACGACGGCAAAGTGTAATAAAAAATTAACGGACAAAAAATTTAATAAGTAATATTAATAAAACACCAATTTTATATCAGCAAATTCAACTGCTTTTGCCACTATTAATTAATTAATAAAATAATTTGACATACCCGATGTTACAACTGTTAAAAATTTTGTTCACTGACATATAAACACATTTGGGCCCCTCCTTACCCAGTTTCTACGAACTAAAACAAATCGACGTTCGCAAATAAGAACATTGTATCTCAATTTTTAGTAAAAATTAGTAAAGATTACTTTTCTATATAAGAGTGCCTTCTTTTTCAGATAAACATATTAATCGTATGTAGAGTTGCTCCTGGATTATAGCAAACATGCTTTTTAAAGAACATCGTATTTTTATATACGATTATATTGAAGGTGTAACAATTATTACACCGTTTTATTGCAAGTGAACATAAGATGTTAATACTTTTCTATTACTGTTGGTGGTGAGTGTATACAACTCTGTATCTTTAGATATGATATACTAGGTTTCTTAGATATAGAAATAGTTACATCTCATCCCTACATAAGATGTTAGTTACTTAAAAAATAGCAGATAGCTCCATCGTATCTTACTAAAGTTAATTTAAAAAGAAAAATAATAGTAATTTTCACTATACGTTTATAAGAAATTGTTTCTGTACCTCATATTTAGACTGTAACCAAATTTCATATGGTAACTCTGAAAAGACGTGTGGCAATTAAGAGAAAACCTCTACAACTTTAAACCTACTTTGTAAGAAACCATCATTATCGAGTTACGATGTTCTTATTTGCGAACGTCGAAATGTTGTCTTGCTTGACCATAAATTAAATCGATATCCATCAACTCCGAGTTGCTATATACGTAAGACATTTTTGAGACTTGAAAAGCTAATGTAAACACTATCGCAGAAACGTTAATACAGAGCCTTCAATGTTTACAAACCACGTGACCGCCTAGTTTAGGCAACTCAACATTGCACGACTGGTAAACGGAAAACGAAAATTCCCTAGATCTTGGCGTCACCAATATTAATGACTCTTGATCAATGACAAACCGTTACGTTTACGCTCTCGCTGATTGGTTGAATAGTATCTCTTGAAAAATTACGCCGATCACAGCCGATTGTATTTTAATATAACCTTGATCTTACTACGTTAATAATTTTTAATTTTACCGAAATTTAATGGCCATAAAGGAAATGAAATTACTGTTCCCAACAAAATTACTGGTCACGTGGCTTGTATGGCAACATTTATGAAGGCTCCGCACTAAAATCGGATTTCAGTATTCGGAATCACCTGGGGCCACGTGGAGAGAGAGCGCATTGCGTATAGCGCACAACGCGAATGACGCTAGAAACTACAGTAACCCAGCGATGTATGGGTTGTAAATAATACAACTTCAATAATCTTTTCTTGGAAACTATAAAGATTTTACAAAAAATTGAAGATATTGTGAGTACACAACATGTCCGCAAGTGACCCATTTTAAGTATTACGTCAAGAGCGCCAGCCTGAAGGACTGGTCTAACAGTTGCAAGGACAAAGAACAGACGCGGGACGCACCAGGGTTCCAGCAAAGGTTCACGGCACATTGGCGTCAGAACCAGATACATATACATGCGAGCGACTCCATACCACACTCTTCAACGAACGCTCGCCCCAACAACATTTCTTCTTACTAAACTTTGTTTTCAATAAAAATACTTTTATTTTACCGTTGAGAGAGAGTTTCATTTTACCTGCACACCGAAAGCAACCCTCAATATTGCCTTCATATTTTCAAGACGCGTCTATTTCCAGTTTTTTTTGGGTAATTTGCGAATCACCCTGTACACGGACCGGGTGATTATAAATTGTGTTTCATATATTTTCTGCATGTAACATAATTTTTAAATTAAATGTATTCCAAACCGACGCAATATATCTTTTTTAATGAATACGTTTACTTTTTTTTTAAATTGTCTAAACTGCTGAAAAAATTATATAAAAAATATACAATATAAGTAAATAGATATTAAAAGAGAAATATTTACCCTAATATTCTAACTCTGACTCGCCTCTGATAAAATTTAGAAATAATTGTTTAACTTTTAGTTTCGCAATGTACCTGTCGTAATAATCAATTCCAAGTTTTATTTTCTTATCTCGAACAGTTTCGGGAATACCCAGAAAAAACGTTTTTAAGGGTTCACCTTTACGGCACCGTGGCAAGAAATTATCGTAATGCGCATGCGTTAATCAGTAGAAGTGGTAGATCCCATTAAATCCTTAATAAGTTCCTAGTAGATCCTTCTAAATCCTAGTACATCCTTAGACGTGCTGGAACTTGTCAAGAAATCCCCGTATATCCTCAAGAAATCCTAGTATCGATTTTTATTAATATAGTCCAACCAAATTACACTTCGAGAAAAAAAAATTGTTACCTGGACATTTATAAGTGGAAATGGGAAGAGGGTTTATAATAAACCTAAAAAAAATAAATGCCTGATCAGGGGCGGCGGAGGGTTGGTTTGGGGGGTGGAAAAGTTATGAAAAATTGTATCATTGGGATTTTTAGCGAAAGATGACAAAAAAAAGTCAGACAAAAAAGTATCCAATACAAAAGTCGTAGATCATGCAAAAATCTACAACTGTTGTAGATGTCACTTTTTAACATAACCTCAAAATTTCCGAGAAAAATGCGAAAAACAGTTTTTTTTTCTGACTTTTCGTTTTTTATTTCTCATTTCCGCAAAAATAATTTAATTTTGACGAAACTTGGTGAAAGTATACCTTTCTCTGTCTTAAATATCCTCAAATTTTTTTAGAAAAAAAAAATCAAGAAGCTTCTGAGATATTCGTTTTTTTCGGCCTGAAACACTTTTATTTCAAAGAAAAATTCTACTTAAAAAAATCATCGTACAGAGTTCTGCCGGTAATCATTTTTTTCGTTTTAACATATACTTTTTGGTGAAATAAAAAAATCTGTAATCACAGTTCAAAAACATACTCAAAAATGCAATAAAAGAATAAAAATTGATTTGCAACAATGAATTTTTCAGTTATTGTCGATAATTTGTTTAAATTAAAAAACATTCAAAAACTGATTACACCATTCAGTTCTACGGAAAAAAAACTGTGACTCATTGTTTGACCCAAAACTTTATTTTTGTACGGTATTGCTATAAACATCTAAATCGAATTACAAATGCTCAAATAATAAATTATCTCTGGACGATTTGAGATTTCAGCAATACAAAGTATTCACAGCAAAGTCTACTGTTTACGCGAAATCCGAAAACCCGAAATTTTGCAAAATCGTTTTATTTTTTTTCTGGTTTTATTTGAAAACGAATTTTAAATAAATTGCATATTTACATTGCCACTTTTTTCGCTCTATCCAATGAATGGCATCAACATTTTTGCAATCCGACGTTTCGTCTTCGAGGGTCCATCATCAGATTAATTTTTTTAAATATATCGCTGCTATTTTTATGACAAAATCTAATCATTTTTAATTCTGTATTAGATGATATTACTATTGTAATTAAAAAGGTTTTTAGTTATCGTTAGAGAGAGAGAGAGAAAGAGGAGAAAATAAAAGTCAATACCGCACAAAATATCCAACAATTTTTTTAATCCATAATTTAAAAAGTTGTACCTAATAAAAAAATAATACGAATTTATGAAATATTTTATTATTTCTAATTAGTATTGCTAATAGTAGTAAAAAATTGTTGGATATTTTGTACGGTATTGACTTTTATACTGTTATGACTTCATCCAATAGATATTTTGAAAGCGTTCAGAGCCGTACTCAGGAAAAATTTTAAATTATAGCTAAAACAAGCTAAAAACTTTTTAAGCGATTACAATAGTAATATCCTCTAATTCAGAATTAAAAATGACTTTAGATTTTGTCATAAAAATAGCAGCGACGTATTTAAAAAAATTAACCCGATGATGGCCCCTCGAAGACGAAACGTCGGATTGCAAAAATGTTGACGCCATTGTATAGAGCGAAAAAAGTGGCATTGTAAATATGTAATTTATTTTAAAATTCGTTTTCAAATAAAGCCAGAAAAAATTAAACAATTTTGCAAAATTTCGGGTTTTTCCGGATATCTCCGGAACTACCCGGAATTTTAAAACTTTCTAAACAGCATATTGTTAGGTATAAAAAAACACAACTTTTTTCTAATCTGAGCCACCCCGTATCTCTTACCGTTTCCTAGATACTAATGCCTATCCCATCCTTATCTTGGACACACTGTATATCTATGAATACATCAAACTTTAAACAAAATAAGTACACTAGTTGATCCTAGGGAAAAAAATATTATTTATTTTATTTATTCACTATTCGATTTATGTTTATAGCAATACTGTACAAAAATAGTTTTGGGTCAAACAATGAGACAGTTTTTTTTTGTATTTTTTCGGTACAATTGAATGGTGGAATCAGTTTTTGATTTTTATTTTTAAATTTAAACAAATTATCAACAATCACTGAAAAATTCATTTTTACATTTTTGCATTTTTGAGCATGTTTTTGAACTGTGATTACAATTTTTTTTATTTCACCAAAAAGTATGTCAAAACGAAAAAAATGAAAAGTCATGTCAAATAGTTTTCAAACATCAAGGTATTTGACTTGATTTGTAATAAAATAACATTAAACGCAACTTACGACCATTATTCGATGCCATATCCTCTTGCAAGATAATCTAAGTTAGCTCTTTGTTGCAGATAATATCAGTGGTGAGGAAGCCAGCCATGCGAACACCAAGGAACATGTTCATAGTTAACCTGGCAGTTGCTGATTTACTGCTCTGTACCGTTACAATGCCACTCACCCTCATGGAAATCCTCACAAAGTACTTCCCGCTAGGAAACAATCTGTTTATATGTAAACTAATAGGCATTCTACAGGCGACGAGCACCTACGTCTCTACCATCTCTATTACTGCCATTGCCTTAGACAGATATCAAGTAAGTAATTCGTCTTTATGTCCGTTTGTACCTTGTGTTGAAATTCAAAAGTGTTCTTCACATATTTCTATTTCAACTTCTCTGGAGCTCCGAAGCGGAAAACAGTTAAATTAAAAAAATTTCTCCGTTTGTCTAAGTGTGTCACTAAAATAATTAATGAAATTAATTGCATTGTTTTATACGAATAAAAATACATATTCAATAGCAATTTAGTGTTTGAAATTATTTATTATTAATTTAATTAATTTTAGTTTTTGTTTTTCTATTTGGTACTTTGCCATCTGTGAAAATATATTTAAAAAAAATAGCTCCTGTTCCAAAGAGACCAATAAAGGACTGTATTAATGAAATTGTTTTTACACAACCAAAAATTTTCACTGAAAAATGGAAGATATACAGGATGTAACTTTGAGTGGGGGTTATATTTTTATACAGACTTCCTTTGTCCTTTAGAAGCATGCATCAATAGTTTATTTTTTGAAATTCTGTCGTGAAAATCTATTTTTTTTAATATTTTTCCTAATTTTGTTACCCCGCCGCTGGACAAGATACTGTAACTTCATATTATGGCGCGCTTTAGTCACAAAGCATGCACAATCGGGAACTGTGCTGTGCATTGTTGTCAAATCTTATTTTTCAAGGAAAAGTTGTTAAAAAGTAAATTTCCATCCTTTCGATCGTTTCGGACGACTTTCAAGGGCATTTTTAGCATATTTCTCATCACCCAGGCGAAAATCCGAGATATATAAATTGGAGATTTTGTCGTCTACCTTCAAATGCCGTTTTCAGAATTTAAATCGGGCCATTTTTGATAAATCGACACGATGTGCAAAAAAGACCCTAATTTGTTTATAATGCAATTGTGCATCTTGCGCACGATTAAACTACATATTATTATCTGTCATTTTTCGCAAGTGTGTTTTTCCAGATTCAAATTTGACGGAGTTATGAATTTTTGAAAAACCGTTTATTTTAGAGGTTTTTCCCGATTTTCTCTGTAAAAAATGAACCGATCGGGTCGCACAAAAAACATTTTATAGATTTTTTTATTCTCTACAAAAGTCCTATTGAGAGTAAGACGATTCCATAATTAGTTTTCGAGATATTATAAAAAAAACAAAAAATGTCATTTTTGCAATTCCTATTGTTTAAAAAAAGATGTTTACGACTTTGCTGGGGAAATCACTTGGGTTTTCATTTTTCTAAAGGAAATACATGAAATTTGCTGTAATATTTAAGTGTAGAAACTCTTTTGGTTGGCCTATAAAGGCACCGATAAAGTCGAAGACTAAACAAATATGTAACCAAATGAAGCAGTGAAGTTTTCGGCCATTCCTGTTTTAATCAGGTGCGAGAATAGTCGACTCGTCCGCACCTTCAAACGCATACCGTAACAGAACAGCGGTTCATGTTCAACGCTTCGTTCACATTAACATAGAAAAAATATGGTGACTTTAAAATAACAAGTTGTTGTAATATTAAATTAATTTCTTTTCACAAAATTATTTTTAGTCAGTTTTTGTGTAAATATTTACAATAATTAGTAACGTATCTCTGTACCGATATTATTTAAGATTTAATAAATCATGTAAAAATTTTTGTTTTTTTTTTTAGAAACGATAGAATATTTTGTTTTTTAATGTTCGATCACAGTGATATTAAAAAAAAATATGGTGACTTTAAAATAACACCTTGCTAAGTTATACAAATATAATATGTTTTACTAAATTAATTTTTGATTGTCACAGCCCACAATGTGAAAGTTTTAAAAACAATTAACAACGTTGATAGTGCACTAACACAACTCCACACACAAATTCCGGGATGTAAATTGTAACTTGACTATTTATTTTATTAAAAAAAAAATTGATTCGTGTTCAGAGCAACACATACTATTACCGCTAAAAAACTGACCCCCACTTAAAATTACACACTGTATAAAAAAATTAAAAAAAACACTTCTCTATATCACTTCATTTTAAGTTTACGTTTCAACACTCGGTCGTTTAAATAAATGTGACAGATTGATTTTAGAAAAAATGAAAAGTGAAGTAGTTTATTTTTTTAAATGTAAGTAGTCACATAAATATCCAACATACAAACGGAATATTTCTGCAAGTTGGTAAAGTTATTTAAAATTATCCTACATATTAATTTGACCGAAGCAAAAAATTTAAAGAAATGGGTAGTATTTCATATAATATTCATATATAAAAACACACTTCTTCCATTCAACTCCATGTACTTAAAAACAAGTCCTCGAAGAATATAATTCATATATAACACCAGAGGGTATATAATTTATATATGACACTCTTTTTTCCGAGGTTTTTTCGCACATGTAGAATATATTACTGTCACTTAGGAAATTTATTACTTGTAATATGCCTCTGCAACCACACTGAAAAATTCAATAGATTTCACGTCGTACCACTGTTATATGCATAAGGTAAACTTATACAGCATGTCGCAATCTTAACCTATTAAACTTATTTTGATTTTGTTGTACTTGATAAGTTCTATGCAAATGGAAATAGTTTGTGAAATTAAGTGCATATCGTTCAAATTTACCCTTTAAAATGAGTACAACAAATTACTAAAATGAATTTCAGTTTTAGTACTTATACAAAGTGTTCTAAAAAAATAGAATAAGCCGTTAACTACATATAATTTTGGCAAAATTAATGGGACTTTCTTTGTCATTTTTTATTTAGTTGTCCCTGTTTCAAAATGCAGAATGGCAAAATTATAATTAAAAAAAGGATTATTTACTAATAACTTAGTTTCTTAACATATTTAGTTGAGACTTTGCATAGACATTTAATTCCGCCACATTTTTTCGGCAATTTTGATAAAACCAATCATGGAAGAACTAGTGGAGGAATACCTATAATACTTACTGTTCCCTGGCTTTTTTGTGCATGCCCTTGAAGCAAATATATTGTGTTTTAAAGCAAACGTTTATTTCTTGTACTTTATTGCATAGTCCCCTCTAATTCTGTTAATTTTAACAAGTAGTTGATGAAAAAGTCACTAGTCCACTTTTATGTAGAATTTTATGCTTTACAACTTTTATTTTATTAGATATTTGTTTTCTAGCTCTTACCCGTTTTGAGTTATCTTGAAAAACACACTTTATTTTATTTTTTTCACCTCTGGCCGGGGGTTGAAAAAAAATTACTGTCACTTATTGTTATTGTATATCCCAAACTAACTTATATAAAAAAATCAGGCAAGTCGACCAAAATTGCGATTTAAAGGTCCATTTAATTGGACTATGCAGTAAAGTTTTGAATTAGAGTGTAGTTCATGAGATATCGCAATTTCCTTTAATATTGACTCATTTGTTTTTTAATAAATCATCATTTTCTTTTAAATGACGAATTAAGCTTTATAAAAAGATGCTAGGGTATTATCGATTTGATTGTTTCTTTTTCTTTTATTTTTTTTTGTTGTGTTTTTGTCTACAGCACAAAGTATGTGGCTTCAGTTTGACACTTGTGAACACGAATAGCAGAAGGCTAATACTACAAATTTTCCTTACAACTTTTAATCTTATTTTTTTAATAACAGTACTGAGATCTAACTAACAAATCTTTTAATTTAATATGTTTCCTTTAATTATTAAATTAAGTAAATTAAGAAGACGTTCAGTCGAAATATCCAAAACCGATATTTCAAAGTACACTTTTTTTAAGAATGTTGAGTTTTATGTATAACGTAACCTAAGATATTCTGATCACATATCCAAAAAAATTGCAGTAAAACCAAACCCTAAAATTATTTATTGTTTTTTTTAACTATAGAAACTGTTCCTAGAGTTGTTAGATTTTAAGTAAATTGAAACAAATTGAAAACTAAACGAAATCACAAATATTTCAAAAAGTTGTGATGCAAATAATATTTTAATTGTAGTAGGCATAGGGCACACAGTTTCATGCTACATGATCAAATGGAATATATTAAATATATGAAAAAAATAATCGCAGCGATTATTTTGTCAATTTATTTGAAAAATGTGAAATAACTTCGAATTTAAATATACAAGAATGAAACGTATTTTCCACTAAGATTTTATTTATTACTTACCATATACACGGTATTATGGTTTAAAATAACAAAGTTTGCATGTTTACAATTAGTTATATTATGTAACTCAAAATAAATAGGACTAAACGTATAATACGTATATAAACGACAAACGTATATAAATTTTTATATTTAGGTAGCTTCAAAGATTATATTTTAATGAAGAACGTGAAACAACTTTAGAAAAAGTAGAGGATCAGATTGTATTACGACAGAATAAAACGTATTAAATGTGTCAAGTATACGGCTGACAGAAAGTAGCTTAATTTTCCCGAGGAATTGTAATGAATGAGATAAAAATAGGGTTAGAATAAAAGTTTAACGCCCTAACCAACACATTTTAGTCGACTCTGTAGGACAATAAGGAAATAATTAATCACGGAAGTCACGCTATTGTTGTGTGGGTTGAGTTTAACAAGTACTAGAACAAAGCTATACCTTCCTCAATTGAAGTAGATGTCAATAATAGACGCCTTTTAAAAGCAAGTAAATGGTAAAGTACTTATTTATTATTCCATATTGTTGTACAAGTTACAAGATAGATATTGTTTTAAGTAAAAAAATAAGTTTTTATTATATAACATGGCTTGAAGTTAACGCTGGTCTCTACAATACATTTTACCAAAGAACATTTTGTCCGAATAGTTTGTTACTTAAACTTTTTAGGGGAAATAGTATGTGTTCCCCTGAATACGAATCTGAAATTCTTTTTTTTTTAATAAGTAAATAATCAAGTTATACTTAGTTTTTTAAACTTAATTTTAATTTTTGTGTACGTTTTAGCGCACTATCAACATTGCCATTTGTTTTTAAGTCAACCTATATTTTACGAAGTTACAACGAAAGACCATAAATGTTGTGAATTTGAAGTGGCCTCTATTTTTCTTTGAATGAAATAAATGATTGAATGA